CAGTTCCTAAAAAAATGAAAATGAGAATTACCATATGACCCAGCAATTCTACTTCTGGATATATACTCAAAAGAATTAAAAGCAGAATCTCAAAGAGATCTTTGCACACCTATGTTCAAAGCAGTATTAATTATAATAGCTAAAACACAGACGCAATCCAAGTGTTTCTCAATAGATGAATGAATAAATAATATGTGGTATAAACATGCAATAAAACATTACTCAGCCTTAAAAAGGAAGGAAATTCTGACACATGCTATTAATACAATATGGATGAACCTTGAGGATATTATGCTAAGTGAAGTAAGTCATCACAAAAAGACAAATAGTGTATGATTCCACTTATGTGAGGTACCTAGAGTAGTCAAATCAAAACCATAAAGCAGAATGGTGGTTGCCAGGGGCGGCAGGGAGAGGGGAATGGGGAGTTATTGTTCAATGGATAGAATTTTTATTTTACAAGATGAAAAGAATTGTAGAAATTGATAGTGGTGATGGTCACGCAACATTGTGAATGTATTTAATGCCACTGAACTATGCACTTAAAGTGGTTAAATGGGGCCAGGCACAGGGCTCATTCCTGTAACCCTAGCACTTTGGGAGGCTGAGGCGGGTGGATCACCTGAGGTCAGAGGTTCAAGACCAGCCTGGCCAACATGATAAAACCCCATCTCTACTGAAAATACAGAAATTAGCTGGGGATGGTGGCAGGGACCTGTAATCCCAGGTACTCAGGAGGCTGAGGCAGGAGGATCACTTGAACCTGGGAGGCATAAGTTGCAGTGAGCCGAGATCACACCACTGCACTCCAACCTGGGTGACAGAGTGAGACTCTGTCTCAAAAAAAAAAAAAAAAAAAAAAAAATTGGAAAAAGAATTAGAGTACAGTAGACAGTAATGCAAAGCCATACGAAAAAAAATAAAGAACACTGGTAAACACATTTGCATAGATAAATAGAAAAGTCATGTTTGACCAGGCACAGAGATAGGGTGTCTGTACTCTCAGCCACTTGGGAGGCTGACGCAGCAGGGCGGCCTGAGCCCGGGAGTTCAAAGCTGTAGTACACCACTATTGCACTTGTGAATAGCATCTGCACTCCAGGTTGAGCAATATAGTAAGACCCCATCTCTTAAACAAACAAACAAAAAACAGTATTGTTGTATTTTTGGTCTGTAACTACTTTCTTTTCTGTGTGATTTAAAAGACAAATGTATAACATAATGATACATCTATGTTAACTGGCACACAATGTACAAAGATGCAATTTGGACAATAAACAACATAAAGGGGGAGAGAGAAAACTATAAAGGAACATAATTTTTAGATATTATTGAAGCTAATTTGGCCTTAACTCAAACTACATTGCTGTAGATTTAAGATGTTATTTGTAGACCAGGTGCAGTGGCTCATACCTGTAATCCCAGCACTTTGAGAGGCTGAGGCAGGCAGATCACTTGAGGTCAGGAGTTTGAGACCAACATGGTGAAACCCCGTCTCTACTAAAAATAAAACAATTAGCCAGGCGTGGTGGTGCATGCTTGTAATCCCAGCTACTTGGGAGGCTGAGGCAGGAGAATTGCTTGAACCTGGGAGGCAGAGGTTGCAGTGAGCCGAGATCACACCACTGCACTCCAGCCTGGATGACAAGAGTGAAACTCCATCTCAAAAAAAAAGATGTTATTTGTAAACCTAAGAATAACCATTGAGGGAAAAAACTTTTAAAATGCACAGAAGAGTAAATGAGAATCAAAACAGTACTTTAGAAAAAAAAAGTCAATTAAACACAAAAGAAAGCAGTAATGAGGAATTGAGGAGGAAAAGATATAAGACATACAGAAAACATAGCAAAATGGCAGAAGTCCTTCCTTAACAGTAATTACTTTACATGTAAATGGATTAAACTCTCCAACCAAAAGGTAAAGATTGGCAGAATGGATCAAAACAAAACAAAACAAAGAAAACAAAAACCAACCACATGATCTAACTATATGCTGCTTACAAGAGATCCACTTTAGATCCAAAGACACAAATAGGTTAAAAGTAGAAGGATTTCACACAAATAGTATTCCATGCAAATAGTAACCAAAAGACAGCTGAGATGACTATACTATTGGACATAGATGTTAAGTCAAAATCATTACAAGAAACAAAGAAGGACATTATATTTTACTAAAAACATCAATCCAACTGTTACCAACAGCCCACCAATTTACCTCCAAACCTCCCTCTGCCCACAAATCTGGGCCAAGTACAGCAGAGTCCCTGCCCTGGTCCCACCATGAAGCCGGGAATCATGACATACTGAAGCACAGAAGCCCTCCTTGTGGTCCTTAAAGACATGAGTCAGGTGCACTACAGAGCTCTGAGTTCTTATTCCAGCCCTGGCACCAGCTGGCCTTGCAGCCCTGGGCAAGTCCTTCTCCCTGAGACCTCAGTCCCTGTATGTTCATGAAGGACTGCAGCAGCTGTCTCATGGCTTTCCATGTCCACCCTCTCCCAGGGAGGACAGAAGCCTCTCCCATTCCCAGGCACCCTCCCATCCCTGTGCCCCCTGGGGACTCACTGTCACAGTTTTAGTCACAGGTGCCTTTCCTAGGTTTCTAAGCTGTCTCCTCACGTTGGTCTGGGAACTCCTCCAAGGCAGGGAATAGTAGGTGAATGCCTGCTCTACCTGCCCTCAAGCAGGAAGTACGCTTCAGCTGCTGCTTTGGTCCTGAAAAAAAACCCAGCCCCGGGGAGCTGACCCGCTCTGTAGTTCCACAGGCCAAGCCCAGTGGGATCCATCTTGTGCTTTGCTGTTGATGAGTGAGAGGGCCTTGGGCACGTTACTCAGCCTTCCTGAACCTGTTTCCTCATATGCAAAATGCAGATTAAAAACCTCTTTTCCGGCTGGGTGCGGTGGCTCACACCTGTAATCCCAGTACTTTGGGAGGTCGAGGTGAGTGCATCACGAGGTCAGGAGATCGAGACCATCCTGGCCAACATGGTGAAACCCCATCTCTACTAAAAATACAAAAATTAGTTGGATGTGGTGGCATGTGTCTGTAATCCCAGCTACTCAGGAGGCTGAGGCAGGAGAATTGCTTGAATCAGGGAGTCGAAGTTCGCACTGAGCCAAAATCATACCATAGCACTTCAGCCTGGTGACACAGCAAGACTCTGTCTCAAAACAAACAAGCAAACAAACAAACAAACCAACAAAAAACCCTCTTTTCCCACAGCTGCCATTGTGAGGCTAAAATGCCATTTGGGACTCCATGAAAATGCTTCTTCCTTCATCCGCTTCCCCGGTCTGCCTCTCTCCTCCTCTCTTCCTGCCAGCTCCTTCCCTATCCTGAAAGATCCATGGGAAACAGGATGAAGGCTGTCCCTCCTGTCCAGGACTCATCAGGAAGCCCCAGGTAGGCAGAGAAAGAAGGAGGACTGTGGACAAGGCTCGGGGTTTGCAGAGCAGGGAAGCCTCCCAAAGGAAGCAGAGACCACACTGAAACCTGAGTAGAAGTCAGTCGGGCAAGAGAGGAAGCCAAGTGCTCCGTGGATCTTTCAGGACAGGGAAGGATGCGGCAGGAAGAGAAGAGAGGGCTGACCAGGGAAGCAGATGAAGGAGGAAGCATTTTCATGGAGCTCCACGTGGCATTTTAGCCTCGCATCAGCAGCTGTGGGAAAAGAGGCTTTTAATCTTCATTTTACATATGAGGAAACTGAGGCTCAGGAAGGCTGTGTAACGTACCCAAGGCCCTCCCACTCATCAGTAGCAAAGCCTGGGCTGGAGCCCATTGGGTCTGGTCTGTGCAACTGCAGAGCTGGCTGGTTCACCAGGGCTGGGCTTTCTTCAGGACCAAGGAAGCAGCTGAGTGTACTTCCTACTTGAGGGCAGGCAGAGCAGGCATTCACCTACAAGACACTTGCTCCCAACAGAGGCCACCCACAGCCGGAAGCGGGTCAATGTTCAGAGGGGCAGGAGGGGAGGGGGTGGTGAGGAGGTCCCTTCAGCCAGAGGCCTGCCTCAGAGGCCCCCTGAGGGAGGATGCCCCTGGAGTGCTATGGGGGCCCAGGCCCTGGCACACAGCAAACACTCAGCAAATGGACTTTTCCTCTCCTAGATCCTGCCCATCTCTAATGGGCATTTGAACAGGCTCTCAGGCCAAGGGGCTCTAGAGGGGGTCTCCTCCAGCCCCTAGGATGGAAGAATGTCTGTCATGATGCTGCCCTGAAGCCTGCCTCTCACTCACACACACAGACACACACGCACACACTCATCTGCAAACATGCCGGACCATGCAGCCTCAGGGTGGCCAGGCAAGGCTGAGCCATTGGCCTCTGGTGACCCTGGAGACCGAGAAGCTGCTGGCCAAGCCCCCACAGCACACAGCCCCACAAGCCCTACAGCCTGCTGCCAGGCCCACCTGGCTCAGGGCCCACATTCCTGGCTTCCGCTCTGGAGACCGGGAGCTCATTAGAGCCTCAGACTGATCACGGGGAAGGACTGAGGGTCAGAGGCCACTGTGGCCCTCAGTAGGAAGGGGGGCTGGAGGACTCAGCTCGGAGCAGCACCTCTGCTACTTCCCATAAAATCCCAGGGGTCTCCAGCTCAAGCCATGTCACCCCCCGCCCTCCAGTCACTGCTCCCCAAGGCCCTAAGGATAAGTTGGGCTCAGGGCCCTTTGTGGCCTGGCTTTGGGAGCCTTGCCAACCTCCTCTCCTCTTCCCCAGGGACCTTCCCACATCTAGGCCTTTGCACATGCTGTTCCACTGCCTGGGATCCAGAGATGTCCGTAAATAAAATCATTTCTGCCCAATGGGGTGAGCCAGTGAGAGAAGGAAACCCCGGCCAGCACATCAGAGGGAACAGGTGTCAGACTGGGCCTGGAGGGCTGGGTTTGGAGGTCTAGCAATTTTCCAAGAGAACACCCTGGGGAGGGTGTCCCACGGGTAAGCATATGGAAGAGGGGATATGGGATGGGGAGGACAGGCCACCCAAAGAGGTGGGAGCACTGACCTGCTGAAGAATCACCATGGTCCCAAGTCAGGAGCTCCTGCTGCCCACTGGGCCAGGCACAGTTCTGCAGGGAGACAGACCGTGTCATGCTTCTGGGCAGGCCAGCCCTGGAAGCCTGGAGCCTGGCTGGGGTCACCTGGACTCCTCCCAAAGCCCCAGTTCCCCCTCCCTCGAGGGAACCCTCCCTGGCTTCTCTCCTTCTGGCCACTGCCCAACCTGCGTGACCTGAGCCTCAGCCACCGTCACCAGCACTACTGCCCAGAGCAGCTGAATTCTTCTTTCAGCCACTGTCATTCAGAGATTCCCAAAGGGCTCCTAGAAAGTAGCAAGTCTGGCCCCACCAGGGACCTATGGCAAAGGGGCCCAGAGAGGGACCAAGACTTGCCCAGGGTCACACAGCTAGCCAGAGCAAATATAGGACTAGGACTTAATCTCCGGCACTCAGCTTAGGGATTGTCCCAGGAATGTGGGTGACAAGGACAAGCCTGAGAGAGGGGAAGGTCATGGGCTGGGCATGACCTGCTCACGGCACACCCTGCCTGAAACCTCTCAAGAGCACCCACCGCCCTCAGGATGGCTCTGTGCAGAGCACTGGCTGCCGACGGGGAGGCAGGGTCATTGGGGTCTGTCTCTGGCTGTGCTGCTGAATGCACCGCACCTGGGCCCCCCACGCCCAGCAGAGTCTGGCCCCTGCTGATGCCTCAGTCTTTTCTCTCACTGCTCACTCCCTTTCATACCCTTATACTTGGACATCCTCAGTGACTCACTGTTCCTGAAAAATGCCAGCTCTTGCCATCTCCTGGCCTTTACACACTGGCCCTTCTACCTGAAATTTTGACTAGTGAATTTCCACCTATGGTTCATGGCTCAGTTCAGATGATACCTCCTCCAAGAAGCCTTCCCTGACCACCCCAAAGCTGCCAAGAGCCTCTATATTCCCCTTTATCCCATTTTGACTATATGCATTATGTTGTCAGGGTAAGGATCTGTCCCACCTCTGCCCCCAAAGTTGGGGAGTTGATCCAGGGTGGGATGTGGCCGGTGGGAGAGGGTCTGAGACATTGCCTTGTCTCCAGCCTTGCCCAGCACAGGGCCAGGCCCAGAGATGGGCTCTGGAAGGAGCTTAAAAGGCAGCCCCAGCCTACAGGCCCTGGTGTGAGGCCCCTCTGGCTCCCAACCTGTCCCCTAGAATGCGCATCAATTTTTCACAAGGGACCATTCAGAGCTACCGGGGCATTCGATCCTCTGCCCATGACACTGCCTGACACCCGAGCCCTGACCCCTGCCCTGGAGCTCTGGGACACAGCAAACCCACGGTCCTTCCAGAGACCTGAACTAGTCTGGGTGCCTGGTGGGGGTGTGGATTCCACAGGGCCAGCAGGCAAATGCCACTGGGCGCTTGTCTGAAGATGGTGCCCAGGCTGTGGAGCCGGCGCCCTATGCCAGCATGAGCCACAAGGGCTGGGGGCAGAGCCAGTGCTCTCACTAGAGATGTGGGGCTCCAAGGGATGTGGATCAGAGGAGAGTGGTGAGGGCATGGAATTTAAGGGCCACATGTTAAAATGACAAGACATACATTTTATTTCTAAAAATGAGAACTAGACCACATTCAAGTTAATTTCTTTTCCAACTGACCACAGGGGCCATAGGCTGTATTTATATTTCTATGTCTATGCCTGGTTTTACCTCTTCCCCACTACAACCCTGGCTGGTGGGGCTTCATACTCCCATTTCACAGATGGGACATTTGGTGCATAGAGGAAGGAAGTGACTTATCCAGAAATGGAGATAAAGAGTGTCAGAGAGAAAGCAAAGGAGACAGAGAGAGAACGGACTCTTCTCTCTCTCTGCCACCACAGCACATCTAGTCCCCTGGCCCCAGGATGCCCCTAACCCCAACCCCAGCTCAGAGAAGATGTGATGGACAACATGCCCCTTGGCTCTTCCCTCCTCCAGGGGACACGTGTCCATCTTCCCAGGCTCAGGACAATTTCGTTCAGTGGCTGTGGTGACTGAGCCCTCAAGGGTGGCAGGAAGCCTAGTCCCAGGAGAAAGTGGCTGCAGGGCAGAGGATCTAGAGGTAGCTCAAGTCCATGACTCCTCCACATCCAAACCCCTCCCAACGCCCCAGGACAGTGGGCAGCCCATCCTTACCTGGGGCCCAGCTGCTCACTCTCAGTGGCCTGCCAGCCCGGTACAGCTGCCACCTGCACGGAGGACTCGGGAAGCTGGGGTCATGGGCCCAGCCAGTCTGCAAACACACGTCCCCTCTTCCTCTGTCTGGCTCCGAGTCTCGCTCTGGGCGTCCCTCTGGATATTTTCCTTCCTCGCCGTCTCTGTGTGTGTGTCTTGTCTCTCCCTCTCTCTCCTGCCCAGAGCGGCTGTCCAGCCAGCACTGCTGCCCTCCCCTCCTCACTCCAGAGCCTTCTCCCAGGAGGCGGAGCCGGAGGGGGCCTCCAAGGTCTGGGTGCGGTGACATCAGCTTGGGGGACGGGCTGTGCTGGGGCTGGGACTAATGTCCAGAGGCTGCTCAGGGCTCTGTTCGGAGCACTGGCTGCCGACAGGGAGGCAGGGTCATTGGGGTCTATCTCTGGCTGTGCTGCTGAATGCACCACACCTGGGCCTGGGCACCCCAGGCTGGCTTCAGGTGCCTCCTGTTGTTTGCAGGACACGGCCTGCTGTCTCAGCACCTGAGCAGGAAACCCCATGTGATCCTGACTTAGTCTCTGATAAGCTGGGGTCTCAGCCCGCTGCCCTCCTCCAGCCCCATTTCCTCCTCCTCGACCTGGCTGTTTGGGAGAGAGAACGGTCAGGCAGAGCATGGCAGGAGAGAGAGTGCTGAGGTATAGCCCTGCCTTCTGCGCCTTCTCCCTCGTGCACACCCACCCTTGCCTCTGATGTGTGTCCCCTGACGCTGGTCAATGCAACATCGCCCCCACAACCTGCTGTGCGGGTTGGGGACACATGTTATTCTGTAATCATCCAGAAACTTTGCCAAACCAGCTGACTAGGAGCCACCCCACATGTGACAGGGACACATACAAACTGAAGTGAAATCTGTGATTTAAAGGGGTGGGCGGAACCAAAGAGGAGCACAGGTCTTAGTTATTAGCGTTGTCGAGGGTGGAGACCTCCCGGGACCCTATCAGGACCTGGCAATTTCTCCTTTCCGCCCTCGGTGGCCACGCACCTGTCGGCAGCCCCATCGTGCACCTCTCCAGGGCAGCTCTGAGTGGCAGAAGGATGTCTCTTTTGGGTCCCTAGCCCCCATAACTGGGGTGTCTGCAGGCAAGCCAGCCAGAAAGTGGGTTCGGGGCTCAAAGGGGCGCTATAGCTCGCCAGCGCCGCCTGCTGGTCACAGGCCCCACTGCCCCACTGCTTCCCTCAGGCGGGCTGAGCACCGCTGGGAAGTGACAGGAGGCAGCTTCTGCTAGGGCCTGGGTCCCCTCAGACCCGACGACCCTGACCCCGGAAGACCCCAGGATGCCGTCTGCCCCTTAGTCTGGTGGGCCTAACAGGAGTCCAGGAGTCCCTGGAACACAGTCCCCACCTAGGATTTACACCTGCTGCCGAAACCTAGTACTGGCCACTCCTCGAGTCCCCCCTCTCCATACTCCCAGGCTAGGCAGGGCCAGTGGTGTCAGCCCTACACGGTGGGAAAATGAGACCCCGGGGGAGCACAGGGGAGCCCATGGCACACGGCTGGCAGCAAGGACAAAATGCAGTGAGCTGTGGGGATGGGACAGAGAGGTGAGCAGGTTGTGGGGGACAGGGTGGCCTCCAAACACCAGGATGACAGCTGCATTGTGCTCAGCCACGCTATGAACCAGACACTATGCCAAGCAGATCACACGATTTGCAACGTCCATTTCTCAGTCCCATGAAGAAAGCGAGGCATCTCAGTTCACTTTGCCCTCACACTGCACTCACCCCCTGTCTCCCAAGTCCAGTTTTCCATTGAGTCATCCATTCTGCTTTCAGAATCATCCCAACCCTGCTGCTTCCCACCACCACACCAGCTTCCTGGCCCAAGATGCCTGCGTCTGCCCTCAGTAGCCTCTGCTCTGGTCCCCCGACACCTTCCTGTGCCCCGAAAGCCCATCTCCTCTTCCCAGCCCTTCACGCACAGATCAGGGAGTAGGCGGTCTCTAACCCAGCAGGCCCACACTGTCCCATCAGTAATGTGCGGTGTAGTTTGTCATAACCAGAGTATGTCTTTGTGCTCCCTGCTCGTTTGTAGACTGTTCCAGAGCAGTGATTGCTATGCCTGGTTCCCCACATCCCAGGTGTCCAGGACAGGCCTTGGCACAAAGCCAGCCCCGTACAGATCTACTGAATTAAGGAATGACTGAATGATCCCCACAATCTCAGCTCACAGGTGCACCAGGCAGGCAGCGGGGTCTTCCCTCTGACCAGAGGACAGTCGCCCAGGCCTGGGGAATATTCCTCCATTGTCCCTTCCCCCCAGAGGGACAGAGAGACACAGGAAAGTCTTTTTGGAATTGTGATAAGATTTATTGAGACTAGAACAGGCTTCTTGTCCCCAAACCCCGTGGTGGATCCTGAGAAGAGGGAAGCCCAGGTCTGGGTAGTGTGGGCTGGAGACCCCACCCACCTGCAAATGGGGACTCTCAGGCCCCCATGGGTGCATACAGTGAACAAAGTAATTGCTCTCCCCTACCTCCCCTGATCCTTACCTGCCTGGCCCCCAAGGTCTCCTGGGGACCAGAGATCCCTGCAATAGCCAGGAGCCAGCCTGGCCCACCTCAAGGGGCAGGAAGCAAAGGCAGCACTGTGGAACCTGTTCTGTCAGGGGGTGGCAGGCATGGCCTGGCCCCGAGGCTGAAGCCCACAGGTCTGCCACTTGGTCCTGGTGTACCCCTGTATCCCAGGGGACATGGCTGAGCAAAGTCCCATGTGTTAGCCCGAGGTGCAAGCTGGCTCACTTCTCCTACTCAAGAGCCTTGATTTGAAATAGACATAGAGAAGTGGTGATTACATGAACATATATATATCTAGTGTGTGTGCATACAGAGATACATAGAGAAAGGGGTATTATTTTGCCCTTACTCAGCACTTGGTAGTAAGAGTGCTGACACACAAGAATCATTGGCCCCACTTTGTAGAAGGGGGAAATTGAGGCACAGGAGGTTTAAGTGACTTGCTCCCAGTCATGCAGAGTCCTGGCCCCAGGCCCAGGTTCTTGAGGGGAAGTCCCGGCTTTCAAGAAAGAATGCTCTTGTCCTCCTTGTTGTTCATTTCCTGGCCCCTCATATGGCCCAGGGCCAAGACCCAGGAGCAGAGCCAGACACAGAGTGAGGAGGCAAAGTCAGAGAATCCAGCACCTCCAGCCAGAACACTGATCCAGACAGCAGGATCTGGAGTCGAAAAGTCAAGTTCCCAAAAGGAATTCCCAGCAAGGACACAGGAATTCCTGTTCTTGAATTAACTGCACTTTTTCATTTGCTACACCTGGTCTGGAAGCCCGAGAAGGGCACAGAAGAGATCCCAAGTGGGTCATGGCGCCAACGCTTACGAAGAGTTCTCCAGAGGACCAGCAAAACTGGAGCCAAGAAGAAAAACGGAGGTTCAGACTTTGAATTTTCTTTTAAAACCCCTGATTAAAATTGAGGTTTTCAACACAAAAATAATATAAAACATTGAGGACTAAAAGGAACATTTTGGTCCGGGCAGGAAGAAGAGCACTGTGGCCTCCTAGGCTGCATTTTGGGGGAATGTTGGTGGGGGGCTGTGGTCAGGTGATGGGGCTCCCTATCTCCTGCCAAGCCCAGTGGGTGGCCTGACTCTGGTGGGCCTGGCACCACACACCCCAGAGTCCTGTCTTTCAGGAAAAGCTGGAGGAAAAGACAGAGTCCTGTCTTACAGCAGAGAGGCTCTGGGAGCACCTCTCCCCTTCTGGTCCCCAAAGCCCCTCCACCTGCCTGGCCTCTGGCCCACTAACCCAGGCATGCTCCTTCCAGCATGGGGCAGAGGAGTCAGGAAGACGCCCTTCCTCACCCCCACTGATACCACCTCTCCAGGGACCTTAACCCAGGGGCTGGGAATGGAATCGGAAGCTAGAATGAGCAGGCAGCTGCAGCTCCCCTGGGTATCTGCCTCTGAGAGGACCTGAGGACAGAGGCGAGGCCCAAGGTAGAGGCCGGAGGAGGGCCCCGCTTCACCTGGGGCCTTAAAGGTGTCATTTATTCATTTGGCAAATCTCCATTGAGTGAGGAAATGGATGGGTGAGTGGACAGGATTAGAGAGTGAACAAATGTCACCTGCATATTTTCCCAATTCCAGCCTGAGCAGGAACCCGGCAGGAGCCAAGAGTCCTTTCAAGGTGGGACAACACCAGGTATTGCTGATGGGGAAAGTGGGGTCTGGGAGGCTGGGTTGGGCCTAAGACACAAGGAGCAAGAATGGGGCTTGGGGATGTGGCAGTTTGTGTGTAAACAAGTGACATCTTCTTGGCACTCCTCGGCAGACAGCAGGGCCTTAGGAAAACGTTTTCAACGGATAGAGTCCCTTAGCAGTGGTGACAGTTGAGGTGGGGAGGACTATTTGAAATCTCAGCAAGGAAACTCCTCCACGAGAAGGGAATGCTTTGGGGCCCTCAGGACACTGAGGCTGAGAGAGGGGCAGAGACTTCCTAAGGTCACACAGCAAGTCAGTGGAAGAGTGGGAAAAGGACCCCAGTGTCCTGGCTCCCAGGCTAGACCCAGGCCCAGTGGGGACATGCAGATGGTAGTGGGAACTGCTGGAGCCAGGTAGGTGGGCAGGTGTCAGACAGCCATGAGGGAGGTGCTGCTGAGAATGTGCACAGCCACAGTGCCTGGCAGGTCGCTGGGCTGCCGGCTGTTTTGGTCCCGGAGGTGGAGGGTATGTAGGGCCTGGAGGTCGTCTGGGTCAGCCTTTAGGTGCACCTGGCCCAGAAATTCATCCTTTAGCACTCGATGGTTCCAGACCTGGGAAGAGACAGAGGATCATGGGAGGGGCGGGCTACCTCCAAGTCCAGAAGGTAGGAAGCAAGGGCAGCACTGTGGAACCTGTTCTGTCAGGGGGTGGCAGGCATGGCCTGGCCCCAAGGCTGAAGCCCAAAGGTCTGCCACTTGGTCCTGGTGTGCCCCTGTATCCCAGGGGACATGGCTGAGCACAGTCCCACGTGTTAGCCCAAGGTGCAAGCTGGCTCACTTCTCCACCCCCTACTCAGGTCTATGGGGAGTGCTGGTGGTGGTGGCAGGGCCTTGAAGTGCAAGCCTGGCTGAGGATCGGGGGCCCTGGGCTGTCTGCCTCTCCATGAACCATGGGCAAGGTGGTGCCCCTTCCAGCCTCAGGCTCCTCAGCTAACTAAGCTCCCTCCCATGCATAAAGTGAAATCTGTTATCAGCTCCGCTAGTGATCTTGGGT